CCTCCCATGACGTACCTTGGCCAGGGCTCTAAATCCCCTGCAGTTTTCCTTAGGGCACTAGACAATCTTATCATTTTCTAAGTATATCAAGATGGAAAAAACACTGCAGCAAAACCTTAGCACAGTCCCTGGAATACTTCAAGTCTCATTGGGAGTGACCCTGCATTGCTCCCAAAGGACATCCATGAAGGCCTGGGAGGCATTGGGAGGTGCAGGGCAATGACACCATCAGAGAGAAGGTGGCCTGTGAGCTGGGCTGGGCCTTGAGGGATGAGGTGATGTTTGCAGACATAGCAGGTCAGATGAACTTTCCAAGTAAAGGGAACAGCAGTAGAAAGGGTGTGAGCGCACAAAGTATTTCAAAATTTTAGACAAGTGTTTCGATGTGTTGAGATTGCAGTGAGTGCGTCAGTGTGTGTCTACGTGTGTATGTGTGTGTACCTAAAATGAGGGTGGAATGACAGGATGAACCTGGCAGGAAAGTGCTCCACGTCCTAGTCCAGTCTTGTGCCTCTCTTTGTAGAAGGGAAAGATGCAGGCAGGAGTTGAGATGGGAGTCACAGTAAGGGGAAGGTCTATGGGAAACCAGTGGGGATGTGTGTCATGTTAGCTGTCAAAACCCAGGAAAGCACTTCTTAGAAAGACCCTGGAGTCTGTGCGATTCCTTGTAATTATGCTTTGTGTTCTGACTTACAGTCTTCCTCCAGAAGGAATTTGCCTGAAGAACAAGTAACATTTTTGTTTGCAGGAGACCACCCTGATTGATATCTCCCTGATGAACAAAACAGATTTGTCTTTCTTATGTCCAAATTGTTGCACAAAATAGCACACTCAGAATGCTTGTCTGTGAAGGTCAGGGCTTCATGGGCGGCAGGGGGAGGGGGTGATCCTAATGACAATGAGGATGTACATTGGGAGCCAATTTTACAAAAGTCTTGGAGTTTGGGAAATTTCCATACCTCATGGAACTCATGCAGAAACCCTTTAAACCGGGAGTGAACCAGTCAGCATTCATAGGTCTGTAACTGTGGAATTTTCACACTGGCGGATCATGGGGAAAATACAATCACAGTTACAACTTTTGGACTATACTGTTGAGTCACAGAATTATTTCTATTTATTTAATGCTTTATTTACACCAGGCAGTCTGCTAAACTTAGAGGGTTCAATGGGATACAGTGAACAAAACATACACAGACCTTGTCCTCATAGAATTCATTAGCTAATAACTATTTCTCAAATTTATTTTCATCCAGTGGCCCTAATGACCCAAATCCCAAATATATTATTTTATATTTTAAAATCAATAACCAGCTTTTTTTACCTAATATTTTCAATAGTTACTTCAGTAACTTTTCTCAATTAATTCAAACCTTTCATTCAGATTTCAAGATTCTCCATTAGCTATTCTTTTATTACACACACTCTCTCTCTTCTTTTTTTTTTTTACCTTAATCACAATTGTAATAAAGAAATGCACAGTGTTTTTATCCTTCTTGAGTAAGCAGTTTTTTGATATGTTTGGTTAATTTATCTTCTTCCATATATACTTATTTCAATCCTCTAGGATGTATCAATCATGTACTAAGAACAATCATCTATTATGCAAGCTTCTCTGTGGAACCCAATCTTAATTTTTTAAATGTTTTTGTTTGTTTGTTTTTTGGAATTCAGAATAGAAAAGAGTACTCAAATACCTGTGGTAGATTGTTGCAGTAATGACCTCTGATAACTAAAAAATTTGCTCTGACCGGATCAGCAAAATTGTAGTGCTTTGGGAGTGAGGTGAGTAAGTAGTTATGTCCCATGTCCTAGAAAATGTTATCACAGATCATTTTCACTTAGAAGCAGATGTACGGGCACAAGAATTAATAAAATAACCTAGATCTCTACATGTAAGATGTAACCTAGTAACACTCCTAAATCTGTAAGTCATACACAACCAATAAAAAAAACTGATGTAATGATTAGGGGGTCTGTCTTTTTCTCTCCCTTTTGATTCTTCCCTTTTCTGTAATTATAAAATACAGCACTACTTTTAGAAAATGTGGTTTAGGTGACAATCAATTTTATTTAAACAATCTGCATTTGGGAGACACCTTACAAGAAATCAGAAAGTCTGACAATACTTAGCCTCATTCTCACATATTCTCAATAGGAACTGTGTGTTGACCTTTAAAAAGGCAGAAGCCCTTCAGTTTCCCACAGGTCCCACCACTTTCTAATGCCTACTCCAAAGTCAAAGGTCAATTGCCATTTATTATCCCTTTTGTACTATTGAGTTTTTGTTGATGAGTTAAGAAAATTTTGGACAATTTCTTCTACTGAATATCTATTAAGAACTATGTGACAAAATATGTCCATATCTCATCTTCTTTGTGAAAGTGAGTCTCTTTCTATATGCTTAATGTTTAATTAATATACATCTCTCTTTAAGGAATACAAATTAAGAGCCCATTATAATCCAAATCTGTTTGCTTTGCTTTATGTTAATAGCTTAGCCCAGTAAAAAGAAAAAAAAAATAGTCTACAGGCCTAAATGAGGTATTGTTATTTTCAGCACACTCTACATGAGCAAATAGAAGGAAGTTTAGAGAGGGTAAGAGGTTTGGGCAGCATCACACAAGTAAAAAATTAATGCAGCCAGGATTTCACCTAGATCATTCTGGGATGAGAATCTGCCTATAGCAGGGTGACCAGAGTGAGTCCGTGAATGTGACCTGAAAGTGAATATTTTCAAAAGAAATCTCTATATCAGGAATTCTTCCTTGTCAGCCACTCAGCGCCTATGATTTCCTCTACCCACACAGTAACATCAGATGTCTCAGAAAAGGCAGAGGGTTAAAAGGGGCTCGGTGTTTGGCAGCTTGTGATTATTGTAGTTATTGTTATAATACTCCCCCCCAACCCTCAGGTACAATTATTGGGAACCTCACCCCATCAGGGAGGGTCCTTGCAAGGCTGAACTGTCCTTCTATTCTGGCCCCTGCATGGAAAGGGAAGGGATCGGAGGAAGCAAGCCTAACGGCACAGATACAATCTCTTTGTCACTGGATTTCACCCAGCACTTTCCCTGCAGGAACTGGCTCCCCTGAAGGGTCATAGCTGGGAGGAACTGTGAGTCAACCTCCACACGTATGTGTGCTGTAAAACCTTGGGGGGTTGAGCTCCTACATAAGTAGTCTGCCCTGCCTTGCACTGTAGCTGAGACAGTTGCAAACCTGCTTGCTCACTCTCGCATCTGGGATTGCACTGGGCCTGCATACTCACAACCAGGTAAGAGCCTTGCTCTCTCAAGAGCATCATTACCTTCCCCCGCTACTCACTCCATCCAAGGACCTGGGGTTCCTTGGGTCTGGATCCCATCCTCATGGACAACTGAAGGCTGAGTCCCAGTGCTGAGAGAAGTGACTGGTCTTTGTCTGGCACACTCAGCCTCCTGTCTAACCTTTCACTGTTTTAGCCCATGCCCCTGTCACTGTCTTTGCCTTTCCCAATCCTATGAGATGGCCATACTTCCAGGGTGGAAATGATAGCAAGGCCGTTTCTTGAGAATGTCTTTTTTTCATACTAAATTTAATTTTTTCTTTAAATGGAGCTTGGAAAATATGAATCACCTAATCATCACAAATTATGCCAAAGTAAAACGGCATAGATCTTACTTATTTTTCTTCTTGCTTGCCAATGTTTTCTGATGGGCCGAGTAAAGGTGAGCGAGAAGTGATCAATGTGGGGTAATAGAAGAACAGAGAAGTATGGTCTGGCTGCCTGCACCAGCTTCGTGACTTGTCCAACCAAGGGTCTGCGCTTGAACTGTCACAGTTATTACCTGGGGGTGGCTTATTCATAGCTACCTCTCAGGGCTCTTATGTGGATTTAAGGAGGCGAGAATCAAATTCTGGGCCAGTATTTTACACATAGCAGGTTTCCAATAGAGATGGACTTTTATTCCCCCTCTCAGTATGTTTTTTACTGTTCATCTGATAGAATCGATGCAGATTAGTGTGACATTGAAGGTCATCCTATTGATTCACTGATTTCCTTCCTTCCTTCCTTTCCTTAATAAGTGCTTTCTGTATGCCCAGCATTGTGCTGTGATGGACCTTCAGAAATCAATTAAGCATGATTTGGCCTTCAGTCTTGCAGTCTAAATACTCCCATCAAAATTCACCCCTCACTTCTCTGGTTCATTTTGCCCAGTCAAGTCTGATTACACCATCACTTTCATGCTTTTCCTTAGACTGTTATTTCCTCCCACCGTGCTCCTCTCACCAGCACAATCCACACCTCAGAGTGCCAATCCCATGAACGTTCAAACTCTGAGTCAACATCCCTTTTCAGGACACTTTCATGACATTCATCAGTGGTCATCAGTGTCTATGTGGAATTGTGAGACAGAAATCCAGCACATTTGAACTGATAGATTGGTGGTTATTTCATCCAACCACTTGATTTCCAGGTATAAAAATGGAGACCCATATGGAAAGAGTGACTTGCGCAAGAGCCATTTGGGGATAGAGATGGGACAGACTCTCTTGTCTTTGCCATTTAAATTCCAGAGAAAATAGCCTCTAAGATCTGTAATATGTATGGTTTTTCCTTCATGTTGGTATACAACACCTAGTCCAGTGCATGACATGTAGCAGGTGCTCAATAAATGCTTTTTGAATGAGCAAATGAGAGAGTGAGGAATGAGTAAATGCAGCAGTAAGTGGGTGAGATCTGTAGGAGTGAGAGCTAATGAGGCTGAGAGGGTGTAAAGGAGAGGATGAAAGGTGGTGCTGCTGTGACACTGCAGACTGAAGTCAAGGGGAAATGTGAGTGGATGGGCTGCTCGTCTAGTGAATCCAGGAGCCAGAAGGATTCTTGGTCCACTCATAAATCAGGCAGGCATGTGGCAGGGTGGAGGGAGAGGGCAGCCTGCATTCCTCCTTGCTGAGCTGCTGCCTGCCACTGATTCATCTGCCTTTTGTCAACCAGGTGCCCACCCAGCTGCAACCATGAGGATCCACAGCCTCACCCTGCTGTCCTTCCTCCTTCTGGCCACTCAGGTGCTCTTGATACACATCCCAAAGAGAGTAAAAATAGGACAGGGAAGCAAACCAGATTTGGATCGTTGGTTCCCTATGGAACCACCAGAGAATGGGGCAGAAGTCCAGCCATCTGATTTTGTGCGCATATCAAGCTTTACCATTGACAATCAAACTGTGTGCGAGGGACGTCTCACTGAGAAGGGGTATGGCAGCGTTGCACTAAAGATCGACTGCACTCGAAACAACAGTCAGTTCTCCTGTGTCTTCACGGGCAATATAGATTCATGCCTGGAGTCTTTGGAGCACAAACTTGACTATTTGGGAGAAATTATCAGGAGCCTAAAACTCCAGAAAAACGTCTGTGGGAACTCCACAGCCATGCTGATGACCAGTGTGTGTGGTAGCAAGTTTGAGGAATCCAATCTCAAGCTGGTGAGCTCCACTCTACTCAATTGCCAGAATCCCAGTCAGGATGATATTTGTCCCACCCACCAGGAGCAGATCAAGATCAAACTGAACTCCACCGCTGAGTTCATCCCAGTTAAAAAGACCAACAGTACAGAGTCAATCAAGAATGAAACAACCAACCACAAGGAGCAAATCCTGGTGACAGAAACCACCCCCAGCAGCCTAGTGCACACACAGACCAGGACCACCACTAAACCTCAAGGCAGTGATTAACTAGGTATCCATATCTGGCTGAAAATGGCCTAGAAGACAGTCCAACAGACAGTCAGGAGACAAACAGATGGAGCAGAAGTAGTGTGGGAGTCCTGGAGCTCCTTCTAAAATATCATCCTCTCCATATCACAGAACATATCATGGTAACTGCATCAAGAGAACAGGGTCCTTAGGGCAGGTCAAACCATAAGCCCTTCTGTATGCTATAAAGCTCTTCATGTTCCCCAGAAGATATGAACTTCTGTGCTATGGGAATGCAGTGGGACGTTTTAACAGATTTTGTCATTTTTGTGTTTGTGTTGTGGAATTTGCTTTATATTCACTTTCTTGGATGTGATGCTCACAGGCTGTTTTTCCAGGCTCACAAACCTATGTGCAGATGAGCAATGAGACCTGTCTATGAGCTGAACAAGCCAGACTGACGATTTCCGTGTGATTTACTTTCTGTTAAATTAACAAAGATAATAAAATTTGGGGAATTTATCATAAATACCTTCAGCTTCTGTGTGATTTTTCTATGTCTGGTCCCAAATGAAATCATAAAAGGGTCCCCATATATGAGTGGGAAAAAAAATCTAAGAAACACTTTCCAGTTTCTCATGCATCCCAAGTCATTCCCTGATGTGATCCACTCTAGAATCTCTCTTTACCATTTCATCTAATGAACAGAGATGTTTGATGATTTTTGAGTGTAATAATTAGGATCACTGTGTTCAGGTTAAATATCGGGGTCTCAGAGAAGGTAAGAGGGGAGGCACATTTGGAACCCAAGTCCTGGCAGCCAAGTCCACAGGCTTGAGGAACCCTCTTTACTTAACAAAAGTCAGAGCTGCCCCTTTTCCCTATCATATGCAGGACCCCTGCACTTGCAAAACTCATTGCTAAGACAGGTGAGAGAGGCCTGCTTAACTACAATGCTCTGTGATAAGGGCTGTAATGGAAGGAGGAAAAAGCTACATGGAAAGCCAGAGAGAGTTAGACAGAAGCTGTTGTAGAATCGGGTTCATCTTCACAGAGGAGGTGACACTGGAGCTGGATTTTGGAGAGAGTATCTTCAGCAATGAGATGGAGCAGAGGGCAAGCACTTTAGGCATATCACAGCATGAAGGAAAGCAAAGAGATGTGAAAGTTCCAGAACCTGGGAGAGGTCGGGCAGGTGGAATAGCATGGGATGCAGGGATGAGGGTGGTGTTAGTCACTTACACACTAGTATGGAGAATCTGTAAGTGTTTTAGTTCAGGAGTCAGAAAGAGTGGATAAATTGTTCTCAATGTATCATCACGATTCCACAAAGAGGGGAAAGGGAGGAGCAGGAGTTGGTAAAATCATGGTTCTTTAGCATCCATGATGGTGCCAGGGTGAAAGGTCAGGTGGCATGAAAGGATGTCCTTTTAAACTCAATACCTACCAGGGCATACACTGAGGGTTGTCAGTAGCTAATCCACAGCACATCAGCCTTAAAGGGATATTTGGTGTCATCATGAACATCAAAAACTAACATTTATTTCTCATTTATTTCACATTTCTCATGTGTCAGGCACTGTGCTAAGCTCTTCCCGTGGATTGTACATTTGTTTATTTGCTCACTCACTCACTCATTTCACAGAGGGTTTATGGAGCACCGACTCCTGCCAGGCTGTGTTCTCAGTGCTGGAAATATGAATGCACAAGAGATGGATGCTCTGCACTCAATGAGCTTCCCAGTGGGGAAAGTGATGATAAACTCACAATTTATGCAATAGTTAGAGAGGAAAAGTAAAGTAAGGCATAAAAGAAAAGTTTTAAAAAAAAGCACACAAAAATGAAACTAACAAATTTTAGGTGGGTTTTTTGGGGGAGTCCTCTCTCTACGGAGGACAATTAATTTTGAGCCTAGAATGAAGGAATTGACACCAGTGACTCTCTTGTGTAAGAACATTTCAAACAAAAGGAACGCTCAGAGCAAATGCCCTGAAGTTATAATTCATTTATTCATTCTGTCCCATAAGCTCCTACTGTATTGTAGGTAATCTTCTTCTATAGGGAGGAAGAGTAACAATAAAAATAGAAAAATATCACTATCTCCAAGGCACTTAATTTCCATGTTAGAGAAGGGTCAAAGATTGGGGTGTCATTGTAGGTTGGGACACAGAGCCTGACCTGTGAACCTTACTGTCAACCTCAAGACAACTGAACCCATACCCCAGACTCTCCCCAAGCTCCTTCTAGTCACAGTAAGTGAAGGACATTTTCCCTTTAGGTCTACACAGTCTCAACTTCATGGCCCCATACTCAACTAAATACAACTCAAAGAAATATGGCCCTAATATAGAAAAGTACGGATACACTCTTCCAGGGAGTATTAAATAATAACTTTGTTCTCATCTGGATTGTCATAAACATTGGAGAGCCACCCATCCCAAAGCCTCCTGAGGATCCTTTCCAGCCCATGAGGTTGCTGCTGCTGTTTCTAGTTCACTCATGGCCTTGGCCACAAGCAGAACTGGGAGGAGCTTTACCTTCCAACATTGTGAAGTCAGCTTTGCCCAGTCTAGAAATTTGCCTCTGCAGATAGCTAAGCTGTCTCTGGAACAATTATTTAACCCTCTGGACATCAATCAACCATTTGGACAACAGGATAATGAAATACACCTTTAAGAGTTGCTGGAAGACTGACATTGGTCGAAATTTCCTAAGTATTTACTATTACTACACCATTAATAGCAGATGCAACACACATGATCATTTAGAGTCTGCAGCATAAAACTGGACTGTGGAGGGAGGTCAAAAATTTTCTTGTGAAAACTTCAAAGGTGCGAGTTTTGTTTTTTCCCTCCTTGAACAATATGTGAACAGTAATCATCATTATTGATCACCTGCTAGGTGCCAGTGACTTTGCCCTTATTCTCTTATTTAACCTGCTTCAAAATCCTCTCTTGGGGAGTTCTCACCCCCATTTTCTACATGAGGGAACTGAGGGTCACAAAAGCTGAGAAATTTGTCAGTGTCACAATGCCAATAGGAGTCAGAACCTGCTAAGGGAATCCTTGGCCTGCCTTGGAAGCTTATGATTTTCTTTAATTAATGAGAGCAAAGTGACATTTATGGTCTTTAGACATGGACCAAACCTGAAAGAAAACAGGATTCATCATTCTCTTTTATGGATTCATCCCTTTCCATGTCCTTACAAAGGAAAAATCTAAAAACTAACTCTTCCATTTTGTTCGAGCTCCCATTATAGTCACATCCTGAAAGGATGTTCTGAAAACACAAAAAGAACAAAAGAGAAAGAAAAACAAGGAAAGAAGGGAGGAAGGAAGGAAGGAAGGAAGGAAGGAAGGAAGGAAGGAAGGAAGGAAAGAGAAAGAAAGAAAGAAAGAAGACATAGATTTTCTGTTAACTTCTATTAAAATGGGTGCTATATATTTTCTCTATGAGGACTTTCTGGATACCAAGTGAAAGAGCCAGCTGTGTATGTCTCTCTGTGTGTAAGACAGAGACAGAGAAAGAGAGGGAGACAGAGAGATGGAGAAAGAGAGAGAGAGGGAGAGAGAAAGTGTTTGCATGTGTGTGATCCTTAAGGAATGATTCCCCTTGACAGCAATAATGGGAAGATTTCAGCGTTGAGATGTGAGGTGCTGAAGGCTGACACATCTGCATCTCAGAAAGATTCTTAGCAGTGGACCCATCTCTCCTCCTTTGTATAACCAAACCTCCATGCCGACTCTGCGGTAACTCAAACCAGACCAAAGCCAACTTGAATCTCTGAAATCCAGCACATGTCAACTGGTCATTCATGTATCCACCTTCTTCCCCAAACTCCCTTCTAAATTATTTTTGGTGGAACAAGCAAAGGTGATCTCTCACCTAGCTTCAGGTGGCTCCAGAAATCCTTGACCTTCTTTGGATTGTAGATGAATCTCTCCAATTCCAGTCTCTGTGATCACGTTGATTTTCCCCCTACACATCTGTGTACAAAGCTCTGTCTTCTTAGAAGGACACCAGGAATTGAATTAGGACTCAATCTTGTCCAGTATGACTTCGTCTTAATCTGATTACATCTGCAAAGTGCCTATTTTCAAACAAAGTCTCATTCTCAAATTTCACATGAGTTTTTTTTGGGGGAGGGGGCACCATTCAACCTACCATAGTAATCCAATAGCAGCAGCATATAGTCCAATGATAGACAAGTGGGCCTGGAAGATAGCAACTTTGATTATCACAATTAAATTAAATCAACAAAATTAGAAGGAACAGAAAATATGTTTTATCAGGCATATCTCCCCCAAATGTGACTCACTCCCCTACAAATTCTGTTTTTGTCTGTATCTAAGAACACATTAAAAACCCGCTGCTTGCATAAGTAAATTATCTCACCAACTACCCCAGTGATGCTCAATTCAGTTACACAATGGAGTCATCTCACAGAACATTTTAAAAATATTGATATCTGGTTTTCACTCCTAGAGATTATGATGTAATTGGTCAAGGATGGGGCCTGAGCTTGTGAATTGTTAAATTTCACCCATTGTTTTTATTGTGCAGCCAAAATTAAGAAACACAGCTTTAGGTTAATTAAACCAGAATACCTGAGGTGTGTCCAAGGCAGCAATAGTTTTGTTTAATTCGTAGACTATTCTCATGTGCAATGCGTATTGAGAAGTAAATAGCATCTATATGTATTCTGTTTATACTACTATACCCCATGCATTGTTCAAGAACCTAGAGGGTTTGGGAGGGGACAAGGTAACATACTAGGCCCCGCCTCCTTGGAGCTCAGAAAGTGGTGAAAACCGAGACGACACATTGATGAGGATATGAGATGACACAGAAGGCTGAGGGGTGCTGGGATCAGGAGAAGTTCATTTCACTTAAGTTTCTAAAAAATATGTACATCAAGTATGTACTATGACACTCTTATCAAATCTGCTCCTCATATAATCCTTACCACATCCCTATGGGTTAAGTGGTTTTATTCCTGCTTTTACACTAAGGGATTGATTCTTGGAGAGGTGAGTTGT